ATATTAAACCGAGTGCAACATTAGTAAGGATTGATAATCCTTATATACTCCCAATACAGTATACTTATATGCTCCCTCTAAAATTTATGATATACTCCCGCCCTAGACCTTAACCCCTAAACCCTAAACCCTGTTCTAGAGCTTAAGGTTTAGGGGGAAACAGAGGGGGGGGGTGGGTGCGGTCTGAAAGTAAATACCTGAAGCCCGAAAAGGTTTGGGGTCTAGGGTTTGGGATTTAGGGTTTAGGATATAGGGTTTAGGATACAGGGTTTAGGATTTATGGTTCAGGTTTAGGGTTTAGGCGGTTTAGGGTACCTGGACCCCCGAAGTATGTAGAGCCATGTGTTTTGACTGCTTCATTGTTTTTGCCTATGGTCTTATGAGGTCCGGGTAGTACTGTTTGATGAGCACGATCGCAATTCCCATCCCCACCCTGAGCCCCCCCCCCCTTGAGTTATCAGCATGATGGCCATGTGAAATACTCGAATTCCACACGTGGAAGGTACGCTTTCTTCGTGCAACTTCTTAATACCTAAACCCCCAAAGTAGGTAAAATAATGGCCCAAAACCCCTAAATATAGCCCAAAAGGCAATTGTTCTACATACTCTTGGGGTCCAGGTATGAACTGTCTTGTATTGGCACAGCTAAGGTTGATCCGATGCAGATTCCACAGGGGCCACCGTTCGGTGTTCCGAGCCTTCCCTCCATGCCCAGCATTGGGGGCATGATGCCCGGAGCAAACCCGATGGGGGCCATGCCTGGCGCTGCCCCTGGTGCCATGCCTGGAGCTATGCCTGGTGCCATGCCTGGCACCATGCCAGGTGCAATGCCAGGCGCTATGCCCAACGCGATGCAGGGAGCCATGCCGGGCGCGATGCCGGCGGCGATGCCCGGAGCAATGCCAGGCGCCATGCCGGGCGCAATGCCAGGAGCAATGCCAGGCGCGATGCCGGGCGCAATGCCTGGTGCCATGCCAGGTGCCATGCCAGGTGCAATGCCTGGAGCAATGCCAGGGGCCATGCCAGGAGCAATGCCAGGTGCAATGCCAGGGGCCATGCCAGGCGCGATGCCAGCGGCGATGCCTGGAGCTGCGCCGGGAGCACCGGCGGCTCCTGCGACGGCCGGATCCTTAGACCCAGCTTTCATGCATGGGGGTTGCAGGTATATTACAGTATAGTTCAATATACCCTAGTATACATAGTCGAATATACGATAGTATGCGATAATGTATTATAGCATATTATAACATGTCTTAAAGTCACAACTTCATGGTTGCATGCACTGCGCTCCTTGATAAGCGATTATGGCAAAGAGCTGGTTCCTGAGGCGCTGCTGGCATCGAAGGCAACTGAGCAGGCAGGTCGGGATGAAATGGGTTTCTTCGGGTTTAGGGTTTAGGGCTTATGGTTTCGGGGCACGGGTTGCCGGGGATTTCACAGTTATGTTCGAGGAGTTTTGTATAGATACATCCACATTTCCGTGCTCTCCAGTCGGTAGGAACTGCAATGTTTCAGTATGGCTATGTAGAAGCCTCACTAAATGATACTATCTTAGTCCTAGATCTCTTGTAAAGTTGTCGTATAAGGTGAGAATAGGGTACCTCAAACAGAGTGTTGGTAAGGCTTAAGGCGCTTACACCAAACACCCATTTAAACCGTTATCTAAGCCAAGTTTCTGATTGCGTAGCCGTCTCCATTCTCCGTCAGCACTGGCAGATCGTACGGCCCTGGGGTTTAGCGTTTAGGCATTTCGCAAATCCCCTTCCAGCACAGTGACTCTATGGGGAATGAACCAAAGTCTGCATACCACTGCATATGCGATCAGACAAGAGGCTTCAATCCTGCTTGCGCTTGCGAAATTCTATACACTTGGCTCTTTTGTCGATAGTTTTCATAGTTTCTATGATATTGAAAAGGCATAATTACCTATGTTGTTGGATATGGCATGAAGACTTGCAGGGCACAAAAGAAAACCCCATACAGAATATGCAATATACTACTGTATATTATCTTGTGATATGATCCCAATTCATGAGGCCTAAACCCTAAACCCTAATATACCACCTGGACTTCAAAAGTATGTAAAGTAACTGCCAAGACCCCCTGAAAATAGTCAAAACGGCCATTACTCTACATGAGCCATAGTCTAAACTCCTAGTATCCCCCTTAATCGCCCCTATAGTAGTCCCCTATATAATCCCCTATATAAACCCCCTTAAAGGAGTTTAGACCCTAAACCCTAAACCCTAAACCCTAGCTCACATACCTTAAGGGTGTACCAAAAAAAAGTTCCTCCAACACCGCTGATCAACAGTTCTTTTGCAGCTCAGCTCCTCAAAGGCGTCCGTCCAACCCTAAACCCTAGGGTTTAGGGTTTAGGGTTTAGGGCCTAAACTCACCTCTGGTTATAGTCCCCCTTAAGTGGATAGAATATGGGGTATATGGGGGTCTTATAATAATGTACCCAAAGCCATATTCTATCTACTTAAGGGGGACTATAGCAGGACTGAAGGAATTGATCCTTATGATAGTGCCTAGATAAAAGCTGTCATTCGTTTGCATTCCATTCCTTCATTCCCTGCTTGCCAAAGGTATATAAAGCCAGAATTTTTAGGTAACCCCAATTTAAACCCCATATAATCCCTAGAATCCCTGTAGTTTCCATTTTCTTTTCCATTGTCCCTAGGGTACCAATTTGGGGGTCCACCTATTTTGGGAAACTGCTATATAAACCCAGAATCCCCGTAAACCCCTACACAATGTCAGTCTGCATGTCATGCTCCATTGTCCAGTTGATTCTCCGTTCTTAGGATGGTATTCTTAAATCTTCGGTTTAGGTTCAGTACTGCCCCTCC